AATATGATTTTAAATAGAACAAACCTCAGTCATAACCCATGGACAGGGTCAACAATAATCACAGCTCTGATTTCATTAGTGCCGGCACAGAGGAAGGATATTATTCAGCAAGAAACCTCATCAGCTCATCAAAAGAACATCCTGCAACACGCTCTGTCTCCCTGCCTCTCTCAGCCCTGAATCCTCATATAGTTCCTTTTTTTTTCATTTTCACCTACTTTACTGTTAAGCCCATCTCCCTCCTGCTTTCCTCTCTGTTCTTATAGCTCAGGGCTGTGCAGGCTGTTCTAGCCCTTTTGTGGTTTTTGGCTGAAAGAAACAAGAAAGACATTTTCCCCTGAGAAATTAGTCAAAGCAGATCGTGACTTCATCAGGCAAAAGCAGGGATCTGTCCCATAAATGCAGTAGAAAAGAAATATCAACAATAATGAATAAAAATAAATGAAATAATAAAGAAAGTTTCAGAATGACACAGACATCATGGGTGGAACTTGGATCTGCCGGCATAAGGATGAGGGATGGCAGACATTCCTCCTCCCAGTCTCTCCCGTTTGTGCTTTCTCTCCCTCCCCTGCCCTCTTCTTCTTGGTGGCAATTCACATTCAGTGATGTCTTTATTTCCCAACATGCCTCGGCAGGATCCTGTGCCAGCCAAGTAATCTGTGCCAACTTTGTGACCATGCCAATCCAATCACAGTAATCTTGCGCAGGGCCAGAGGCCAAAGACCTGCAGCCACGTTCCCATATAACATATACATAAATAAAGCTTTCACAGCTTCAGTGTCTGTATGTTTAAATCTATTTTTAGTGACCGAGATGTAGTGAATGATCCAAAAGTAAAATCCAAATCTAAAAAGAAGTAAAAATATTTATTATGAGGTAAAATGTAAACCTACAGAACTTTATCTTCTGTTCTAGCGGAGATTCGGTTTTGTGGAATTTGCATATAAAGGTCAGGTCTATGCCACAGTTTTGTTATTGTTTTTTTCCGTGATATTATTTTTTAATTAAAAGTGTTTCCAATGTCATTAATAAAAGTTAACACTTTCCACTCTAGAGATCCCTGTATCTGTTATTAAAATTCAGTCTGCAGCAATTTTTCAAAGGTTGTGGAGTGTGGCACATTCAGTGAAGATTGATGATGATGACTAAAAGGATGCAGATTTGTTGTGCTTCATTTCTGTTGCAGCAAATTTGCTAGCCTAGAGTTTAGAGTTGATTTTTTTATAACAGGTTCAATAACAGTGGCTAATGACTCATTGTTGTAAGGTTCCTGTTTGCTCTCTAATTTACAGTTTTGATTGGGCTGAGGTTTTCAAATCTCACTCCAATCTGGCGATGGGATAAGGACACTTATTGCATTTTAAACTTCATCCAAGCTACTCATTGAAGCCAAGATTGCTCATTTTTCATTTCATTTGTGGAGCCATCACTCACTAAATTTGAGGAGTTTTCTTTTTCATGATGAGAGTAACCCCAAAACAGCTTATCTCGCTTTAAGTGTCACACTGTGACTTTACAAGACTATGCATAATTTGTATTAATTGATGGAAACACTTGAACAAAACTACATTTAGAGCATTTATATGGATCATGCAAATGAGTAGTTGTTTTTAAATTTGACCAAAAGTGAGCTCAGAAATTACACCTGGAAGGAGTCACTTTGTTTATTTGTGTGAAGCTTTGTCTCTCCTTTAGTATGTGCATATTTGGGAGATGGAGTAGACAACAACATCAAATGGTTTGTGTCCCCACATACTCATCCTCTAATTGCTAGCTATGCTCAAAGCTAGCACTTACGAGCATCACGTTACACATTACATTTCATTGCACAGACCATTAGCGTTCTGGCCCTTTCAGGGGCTTCTCTGGTTATATTGATATGGTTTTACTTGTTGTAATGGCATTTGTTTTACATGTGAGCAGAGACATTAGCATTTTATTAGGTACACCTTGCTAGCTACTCATCACATTCCCAAGAGATCCATAATGTGATGAGAACGTCACAAAATTGCTGCAGATTTGTTGGCTGCACATCCATGGTGTAAATTATCCTAAGGTGCTCTGTTGGCTTGAGATCTGGTGAGTGTGAAGGCCATTCGAGTACACTGAGCTCATTTTTATGTTCAACAAACCAGTTTGAGATGATTTGAGCTTTGTGACTGCTGTAGATCATCTGCTTCAAGGTTTAATGTGAGGTGCATTGAAAGATGCTCTTCTGCATACCTTGGTTGTAATGAGTGCATATTTGACTTGAAGTGGTCTGACCATCATCCTTTTCTCTTTTTCTGTGCATTCAGAACACCAGCCTGTCTTGCCAACAACCACGCCACATTCAAAGTCTCATAAATCACCTTTCTTTTCTTCTGATGCTCTGTTTGAACTCCAGTTGGCTGTCTTGACCATGTCCACATGAATGAATGCAATGGATCGCTGCCAAGTGATTGGCCCATTAGATATTTTGGTTATGAGTATTGAACAGGTATAGCTAATAACATGTACAGTGAATGCATATATGCAGATGCCTGTTGATTCCTGCTATTCATTGGAATTATATAAATGCAGCTGCCATACTGCTCAGGGCCCACTAAGTCTCTTAATGCAGTGGAACTATATGAAGAGTTTGTACTTGGTTAATCAGTTTGCCTTGAAATGGGCACTGCAGGAGAGACATTTGGCTCAAAGTCTCTCCTCCTCACTGCTGCATGTCTTTATCTATTAAGAATCTATACATAAAACAAAAGCTTAATTTCGTTTCAGGACAGTTGCTAAACACTAAGCTTGTCTGAGCTTCTCAATCATGAGGTATCATTTCTTTCACTGAACATCAATAGGCCTGATATTTTATACAGGAACTGGTCAGAACCCAATGAGTGAAATGGCAGTGGCAGAGATGCATCACATGTCTTACTGTAGAGTGTAGTGCTCAGTCTGGCTAGTCTCTTTTTAGTTAATTTTGGGGAGTTGAAACGCAATCTACATTTTGGTTACACTGCTGCAATGACTCATGTCCATGTAATGGACTCCAGTGTACTCTATAGTTGTATTTTTGCTGTCTGATGTCTTCAGAAGACAGTAAAAGTAGAGTTACCGTCAGGCTTGTGTAAACAAAGCACCATGTGTGGAAGAATATGTTGGTGATTAGGTTGTCTGGCAAGCTGCCCCACATCGGAGTTAGTAAAGTGGAAATAATCAAAGAAATAATCAAAACCAAACATATAAAATGATAAAAGTGTTTTTCTCTTGATAGCTTCAAATCACTCATCTGTAATTTCTCCTCTATAGAGGTGTGAAGTTGAAGTTAACCCGACGATTACAGCCATACTAGAAGCATTAATGTCACATTAATGAGAGGGTGACTCCTCCTTAATGGGAGAATTCGTGCAACAGTGCGGCTATGCTGGCTGGTTTAAGATGCAGATTTTGTTCTTTTTATTTTAGACTTCAGTTTCAGTTCTGTTTGTAGATTTTATTCAGATCTTCTAACCTTAATTTAAAAAAACGTTTTTTTAGATATATCAAAAACTACACTACATATTTAAAAACACAGTTTATTATTAAAAATATCCAACTGATGGTGATTAATGACACAACAGTAGCAGGACACAGTACATTACAGGGGTGAGTTTCACATCAGTCACTGATGTTAGCATTAGCGCATTAACATTAACATTAGCGCAGTGGCTTGAGCTACACGGCTGTAGCTAACAAGTTGTTCTTATTGTATTCTGGTTCCTCTGCATCCTGCTAAACAACAACAAAAATTAGGATTCCTAAACTAAGAGAGCTGTTAAACTTTGATCAAGAAAACATAATGACTTTTATCCAACGATGACAAAGTTTATTCGCCGTACACCAGTATGCTTTGACATGCTACTTAGCACTTTGATGCACCAAAGTGTTATACTCAAAATCACACACAGATTCATAATGACATCATTTTTTCGCTATTGGTTTCTCAATGTCAATTTCTCATCTCAACTTTACAGCAGAGACCACAAAGTTGAGAACACCAAGTTTAATCTGTTTGATCTGCAGTTCCTAAATAATTTAGTTCTTCCGATTATCTCGATAGATTATCTCGACAGAATAACTATTAATAAAACTGAGTTCTTATTATGAGAAAAAAATAACAATTTAACAACCTAAACAATATATGACATTTTTAAAATTTTTTAATTTCCTTCAAAGCATGTGATTGGCCAAAGGTAGGCTTCAGAAAAACCAAAAAAGTCCTATGCTCGTGTACTGTATATCAGTCGGTGTGTTGTAGGCCCAGAAGGAGCTGTGAAAGATGGTAGAGTTTGGACTGAATCCAAAAACTCATCCCATTTAGGTATAGCGTTTAAACAGTAATCAAATGATAGCACATTTGTTTGAAGGTTATGTTGTAAAAGCATCCTGCTGTGTAACATAGGTTTTGGGCTCACTGCCCAGATATTTCACACACTTAAGCTCATAATGGTATTTCTTAAGCTGTCAATCATCTGTCTCTCCCTCATAAATAAAAAGACTCGGACCATGAAAGCAGACACATTTTTTAAAAATTTCACTGTACTTAGTAAAAGACAAATACTACCCTCAATCATTCGCTCTCTACGAGGTGAAACCTCAAGAAAAGAGGTTTTTAAGAGGGTATATTTCTGAGGCAGTTAATGTAACCAGCACAGTGTGATATAACCGAGACAAACAAGGCCAACCATCCACAGACATAAATAGATTAGAAGTCTGTTAAATGATTCATTTGTACCCTATTGAATATCTTTAACCAGTCTCCCAGTTGGCTGTCCAGCTGTTGGGTGCATATTTGAGCTTCAACAGAGAGCCAAAAGGATTTGATAATTGTAATATCCATCCATCCATCCTCTTCTGCTTATCCGGGGTGGGTCACAGGGTCAGCAGCCTAAGCAGAGAATCCCAGACTTCCCTCTTCCCAGCCACCTCCTCCAGCTTGTGTGAGGGAACACGAACGTGTTCCCAGGCCAGCCAAGAGATTTAATCTCCCCACCGTGTCCTGGGTCTGTCGTGGGGCCTCCTTCCAGTGGGACATGCCCGGAACACCTCACCCAGGAAGTATTCTTGTCTGATGCCCAAACAACCTCAACTGGCTCCTTTCGATGTGGATCATGTGGATCATCATTTGAGCAGGAGGTGCTCTACCCTGAGCCCCTTCTGGTCAAACTCCTATCTCTAAGGGAGAGGCCAGCCATCATCCGCAATCTCGTTCTTTCGGTCACTACCCAAAGTTCATGACCATAGGTGAGGGTAGGGATGTAGGGACGCTCAGCTCTCTCGTCACCACCACGGACAGATGCAACGTCTGCATCACTGCAGCCGCAGCACCAGTGTGTCTGTCCATCTCTCGCTCCCCTCTCCTCTCGCTCGTGACATGGGGTGGGCACTTCAACCTTTTACAGCCGAGGACTATTCTCATTTTAAGAAGGAGGCCACCAGCTGATGAAGCAAACAGAACCACATCATCTGCAAATGATATGAACTGAATCGGTGACAAAGGGCAGCCCTGGTGGAGTCCAACACCATCGGCAACAAGTTCGACTCATTCCTGGCTATGGGGACCAAGTTCTTGCAATGGTTGTATAAGGATCGAATGGCTCGTAGCAACAGGCCAGACACCCCATACTCCCGAAGTACCACCCACATAACACTCAGAGGGAAACTCCACAAAATGCATGCGGACTGGTTCGGCAATCTTCAGTCATAATTGTAATATGAATTATTAATTACATCACGTTTGGATCTCGGCTGAGCTGTGCCCTGATCACTATCTCTGTATTCCATCATTTCCCCTCACTGGAGACAATCTGATATCACAAAAATCAGATGTAGAAAAAGCTTGAATAGTAAAGACAAGCCTACAGTACTGTTAAATGTCTTAAACATTACCTCACTGAAAGAGAAAGCAAATTCAATTAATACAAATTGGATGAGAAGCCAGCCTTTGAAAGCACATGACAGTTCATGTTTGCATATGAAAATGAGACATCGCATTATTTATTGTTCAGGCAGATGGTTGTCTCTTTTCCTGGGTGCTTTTTCATATTCTTATGTTTTGACAGAGCCTTCTGTTGAATAATTGAATTTCAAGTTTTACTTACATCTGTTATATTCATTAGTACGGTGCTTTTACGGTTTTGGAGACTGTGCATCTGAAGAAGAAACATAACAAATTTCTCCACAACCTATAAGCTAGCTTCAGTTTGCACAATTACTGAGCAAACTGTGAAGATCTTCACTAAACTGCAAGACCATCTGTTAATAGTCTGAAGTAACACATAGCTGGTTGTTTTGCTTTTTTAAGAAAGTGCCTAGATGAACTTTTACAGCCTGTATCTTCTTCATTAATGAGGCTTCACAAGTTTTCGTTCCCTCCAACCAAACTGCTTCGCTAATGAGGGAGGTCCTCAGCATGAACTATACTTGCTACAGGTCTTAGTGTCTGTGGAAGATACTGTACATCTTTTAAAGATAATACTAAACCAAACATCCCTTAATGTCCTGCTCTGATCTAGAATAACCTCAATTTACACTCAATCCTTTGTTATCCTTAGAAATTCTTTATATAAATATATATAATATATATATTTGTATTTACATATCACTTCAAAAAAAGTCAGTAGTGCTGTGTGGTCTATTCTATAAAAGTTAAATACAAATGAACACATGTAGAGGTAAGTACAGGTAATACAAAAAATTGCATACTGCACACCTGTAGCTGTGTTAAACCAACAGCTAGGTGACCCAGAACAACATAACAATCATTTCGGTTGAGCTGTGCTTACAGAAAGTACTCAGCGTCACACGCGCACACACAAAAATACAGTCTTTCAACACTTCCTGTCACTGTACAGCCCCAAATCTTTCTCCTCCTCATCAGCGTGGTTCCCATGGTGACAGCAGAAAGAGCAGCAGAGAGAGCAGGGTCAAAGGCTCAAAAGTCATCGTGTGGGCGGAGCCTTTAACAGGCACCTGACGGAGGATAGGCAATAAGATACAACATTACAGAAAATAGAGTTAACAAGAAAATATAAATATATATACAGATATATCTATATATAGATATATATAGATATATATATATCGAGATATATATCGAGATATATATAGATATAGATATATCGATAGATAGATAGATAGATAGATAGATAGATAGATAGATAGATAGATAGATAGATAGATCTGATAACAGATACAAATAAAAACACCTTCAAAGCAGTGGTACAATATAGTGGTCCCTCGCTATAACGCAGTTCACCTTTCGCAGATGCTTTGCTGATTTTTTTTTTTAACAGCGCATTGTGTTCTGCGTCCTGATTGGCTGTAGACCATTGTCAATCAATCTCGTGTCATGTCTCCTGTACAGTATAGGATGAGTTCAGCTTGTCAAATTTACATGAATCTTCGATCGTTACCAGTGTGACTCTGAAGTGCTGTACTGTATGTTGTGGGTGCCTTTGGTTTCATTCTATAATACTGGACTTATTATTCTACGAAGGTTTGAACTTTGAGTGTTTAAACAAAAGAGAAAAGTGGGAAAATGTTCATGCCTGTCCTCGGAAAGTGTATAAAGTGTGTAGTGAGTGGTTTTACAGCCTTAAAACATCTATAATAATTGTAAAACATAAAGTTAGCTACTTCGCAGATTTCACCTATCGCGGGTTATTTTTAGAACGTAACTCCCGCAATAAACCAGGGACCACTATATAAAGAAACGAGGGGCGACTCAAGACTTTTCGCTGTACTTAAATTTGTAAGTATGTGTACATCTTTAGAAATAAAACTAGGTTTGCTGTAGTTGCTCAACTAAAAAAATAGAAACAAAAACGAAATCTACGATTCCATCTGTATGTTTATTGAACTTCAGGGAGAGCAAGCAGTGGTGTTACATCACACAGCAGACACTATTCAATGAAAAGTGCGTCATCCAGGAACAACATTGATATCAAGTTGCATCAGGCTCTCTCTGACAGAGCTCTGCATGTGACAGGCTGATCGATCACTCTGCATTTCTCAGTAATTAATCAGAGGAGCTTATTGTAGTGGTTTGAAGGAGGTGTGGGTGGGTGTGAAATAACCCAAAAAGTATTGGAAAACGGTCAGAGGATTTCAGGCCTCAGAATCGTCGATACTGATGCACAACTACAGATCCGTCCCTAATGCTCCATGAAAGTCGGCAAAAATCGATTCGGTTGTCAAAAAAAAGAATCGTTCCAAATAACTCTCGAGTCTGTCTGCACTTGTATAAGTGTTGATGCACGGGATTTGTTTCACTTCTGTTTGGCTGATACGTTCTCAGTCACATAACCTGTTCGAACCATTCCCGCCCCTTTCTTTGTCTTTGAAATGGGCAGACAATTATTGCCATGTCTGCTAACCTGTCATGTTTACTTATTGTTCTGAGTTCTTTTTACTTACCTGTGTAGGTGGAAGGAGATGAGGAAGGACTGGGCGACGACGAGGTGGGGTCCTGTCCTTTCCCTCTGGACTACGACCGCTGGGTGCATCACCTGGCTCGTCCCCTGAACAAAAGCAAAAAATAAGATGATTTTAGCATATAAGATTAGATTAAGATCAAGTTAAGATCCCAGAACATGCTCACTGATGAAAATCTGGCATTAAAATCCCCATTAAATTAAGAGAGAATACTTGTGGAAGTTATTTTGGTTCTGTTTTTACTCTCATGGTTGCACACAATCTTGCATTATTTATGACTGTTTTGTTGATTAGAACTAAAAGATTTATGGACTTCGCCGCACCCACCCACAGCTTCGCACAGTGTGAATACCGTTACCTTACAAGGCATAAACTCACACAGATGTGCAAAATGTTGCTTCGTCTAATGGGTATGCGGCCGCACTTTCATATAGGTGTGTGTGTGTGTGTGTGTGTGTGTGTTGGAAGGACTCCAGACTTATCGCAGGAGAAACTCAGGTAAGTGAGTGGATTAGGACAGGAGTGTCACGGACCCAGCTCTGGAGGACTCGGGGTCCGTGAGCAGTTTTGACTCACCTCCCGTTGATATTGTTGTTATTATTATTTTGGTGATGTGTGTGTTTTTCTGCACTGTGCTGTGTTAGTCTGTGTCCCACTCATATGTATAGGCAGGGTATGGGTGTGTATGTCTGCGGGTGTGGCTGGAGGATGGAGCTCAGCCACCTGCAGGCCTGAGGGGTGTGGCCCTGCGGAAGGACTGGCCACACCTGAAGTTCATGCCACACCTGTTGGTGATCAGGGCTCGTCGGGGGAGCTACTTAGGAGAGAGTTGGAGCTCCCACCGGCGCGGGATCATTAAGCTAAGACTCCAAGTCAGTGTGTAGCATTAGGAAGTGCGGATCGTGTGTGTGCGCGCGGGTTCAGTGTTTAACGGCTGCTTCTGTATTGTCCTGCAGGTGAAACGAGGGACCAGAAGGGCAGCACGCACAGGGTGTGCAGTAACACAACAGCGGGGAGCACAAGCACGAGCACAGACGTCGGAGGGAAGCACGCACACGGGGTTCGAGGGAGCAACGGGGAGTTATTGTGTTTACAGCTTTCCACTGTAAATAAAGAGCACTATTTGCATCGCAGAGTCTGCGTTTTGGGTCCTCCTTTCCCCACATCCCCACGGTCTGCCCTCCAGACCGTGACAAGGAGGGAAACAGACTTTGCCGGTGGCTAAACACAGTTGCACACACGCATATTTCAGTCTGAGACATTGTCATACACACCTGCACTGTCGCAAGAAAACTCGTTCATAACGAGCTCGCGCTCTCTGTAATATCTTGGCACAAACACGCTAACACACACACACAGAGTCATACACACACCTGCTTGGGAAGAAATCTGATTCCGTCTCTTACAATACATATTGTCATGCAGTACAATAGACAAAGAGCTTCTTTCAGTCGCTGAGGAATGAGGCGAGTTTGTTAATGTTGAAACACTCACACAGATATTATATCTCAGTATTACAGACAGAAAATATGAGAAATTTAAAACAGAAACACGGACAACCTCCTTCAAAATATCAGCGTGCGAGACGCCTGATGTGTTTTTGTTTTCCACCGCGTCTGTGCCGATGATAGAGGTGATTTACTCGCAGCAGAATGTTTACCAATTAGGCATCTGTCCTTTATTGTGTGCACCGTTGACAAATAGCAGCATGGAGCAATATGGGACCCTGGGTTCCTATCTGAACAAACATTGCATTCACGCCTGTGTTTGTGTGTGGTCTTGCTCTGTGACCATCTGTTCCCATCAGAATCGAAAACCTCGAGTCACATCTGGTTTGAACCTGTTTAGGAGACAGAATTGGGTCGTGTCATTATTGATTTGCCACAATAACAAGTGCAGCGAGACGAATTCATGTTTCATTTTTAGCACAATATTAACCGAGCCTCTCTTTCCTTTGCACTGAGCTTAGTTTGATGAAAAATGTGGGAGGGAGGCAGGCGCATTGTCCACTTTGTTAGACAACATTAACTTTGAAACATCAGAGCTTAATGTTTCCCCTGAGTACGCGCATGCAGATGTAAGCATGCCCAGTGCATTAGCGGCATTTTCCCCAATCAATTATAGGAAACAAAATGATGACTGAAGGAAAACTATTAAAACCTGAGCAAAATACATGCAGAGAGTTCACATATATATATGTATATATATATATGTTGTAGTGGCAACAACACAGTTGCTTACCTACCTCAGTGACCTCGTGCCCAGACTCTGCTTCCTTAACAGAAGTTGTGTCAGAGGGATTAAAGAGATCCGATGCAACAATTACACAACTGATCACCAATCTGTGACCTAGGGTGTCCTTATGTTCAAACATAGTGTAGATTATGGAGAAACTGTGGTTTATACATAAGTCCATTTACAGAACGCCACTCGGGTTCAGATCAGTCAGGCCGTTCCTCCCAATCACACCCCTCCATTGCCCATGTGACCATTGAAGTCACTGGATTAAGCACCCTCATGCAGCCCACCCAGCGACTCCAAGAAGGCGGGGTGCACTGATCAGATAACTGCGAACAACAGTAAGCAAGCAAAAAGGGTGCAAGTGCAACATCCACAGCCTGCTGCTTCTCACTAAGAGCAACTCTAGATTAGATCAGAGAGCAGCATTCAGTCATAAATATTTTTTTGAGTTTTCTTCTCAGTATATGAAACTATATTAGCATTTTAACACTTTAACACTTGAATACTTCAGCATTGTCCTTTTAGCTAAATGCAATTTTAAAATTTGGACTTTTTTTGTGCAATTTGTCTTGTAAAAAAAGGCAAGAAATTTAATTGTAAACCTTCACTGATATTTCCACTTGGATTTACTTGCTTGAGCCCGTGTCACTTCAGCTTGTATGTGTGTGTGCATGTGAGTGTCACAACACACAGTCTCCTCCTACATGCCCTTTGGCATGTTTGTTTCTTAGCAACAATCCAGAACACATCACGTATAGCAGATTGTCTAGAAATATGTGTACGGACACACACAGCTACAGGTGATTAATTGCTTCTGGACCTACTCATGGTGTAGTTTAACCTTTATTGCCACCTGCAAGGATGGGGTCATCGTTTTGTGTGTGTGTGTGTGTGTGTCTATTTGGGCAAATTAATGACATACTGAGGGACAGTCAGTGAACTACAGTAATACACTGCAGTTTCCGTGTATCTGCTATCGCACATCAGCCAAAAGCTTCAGTGTTGTTCCATACAAACAGCGAGCAGCTCCATTCATGCACGGTTTGCATCCCCAAAGGAGCTGAGCTGACACTTTACAAGGCAGGACACCAGTGGTCACTATGTCCTGCGATAAACTGCAACTGTAATGGCTGTAGAGGGCAACTGGATAAAAATGGGAACAGATTCACTAACTCCTCCTTTCCAAAACAATAAATATGTCCCTGTCACCTCTGAGTTGTAATTTAGACACTTTTCCAAAACAACAGGATTGGAGGAAATTGGATTTAGCTGAAGAACTCACCCAGAGGTGACAGTAAGAGTCCAAAGCAGGCGGAGAATTGCCATAAATGAGAGCTGTAGCGACCCATAGACAGGAGACTGTATGCCCAGCGTGGAGTTCCTCGCTCTTTGTTTCTCCTTACATATAACTTCAGAGGACCTCGGCTGACATTAATGTACTGCAGACTAACTCGAACCATAAGAGTTGCTTCACTTTCCTAAAATAACACAATCTGAGCAGTTTAATCTTCACTTTAACGTCTGACACGTTTGCCTCATTGACCAGCATCTCTCCACACTGCTAAAATGTGTGTTCTGTTGAGGGGGAAACACAGAGCCTCATTGGTAAAACACAAACTTCTGCTTTCCAGAAGCACAGTATGGCATCCAGTGTTACATGATGTGTGCACCTCTTGCTGAGTCAGGCTGCGGGTTAAAGGTGCCCAGCTTTAGCCATCTCTCTTGGGAGAAGAAGTGTCTTCTCTCTCTGCACCGCCAACAACACATTTTCTTGAGAGAGGTCCTGCACACTGCAACGTGTGGCTCAGTGACCTTACAGCTTTGCAACCCTTTGAAAGCTAAGATTCTTCTAATTTGCGGCCTCCAAATCCTTTCCTTGGTATTCTTTTCTCGTTTTGTGCAGGAACAATTAAATGCTTCTTGTTTGGCATTTCTCATCGGCTGTGGATCTTGATCAATAACAAGACCTAATTAAAATTTTAATGTCAGATATATTTATGTTTTTTAATGCAACATAAATATATTCATCCATGCCCTTTTTGCTCTCCTGGTAAACGTTCAACAGTCTGGGAAAGTTTTTTAAATAAACTAAAAAATAAATAAATAATTTTTTGTGAGGACTGTATGAAACATTGGCAATAAATGGCAAGCAAAACACAATGTGTGCCACTGGGGTGGAGAAATTCATTCTCGTCTTTGTGACACATAAATCATATATTTCGTGTTTTCATGTTTTCCTATTTTAGACACAAAGCATTCAAACTGTAGCCACAATCATAATTTGCATCTGGAGCTCTGTTTGTAATATTACACTTTAGCATTCCTGCAACAACTATTCCGGGAAAGCCGCTACCCAAACATCAGCATAGCTGTGTCTGATTCCTCCATTTGGCCATCTAAAAAAAACCCTACTGACAGCACAGCTTCTTCCTAATGGCAGCAGACGCCACAGTGTATGTGCTGCGTGTGTGTGTGTGTGTGTGTGTGTGTGTGTGTGTGTGTGTGTGTTTGCTTGTGCCCGTGGAACAGTTGTCAGGAGAAGCATGATCTGAGGAGCCAAAGTTAACGATGAACTGACAGCAAAGGTGAAGATGTATATGCGCTAAGCATGTGTGTGTGTGTGTGAAATAGAAAGTGCATTAATGATCGATCGCATGCGATATCAAATACTTGTGGTGTACTGTACAGAACTGTCAATTTAGGCCCCAATTAGGGGCAGTCTTGTTGTTCCTCAGTTTATATACACGGAGCATTCGCTCACACACACAGACACACACAAGCTAATGATGCGAGGTGACCTTGAAAAGCGTCTGGATAGCTCGTGTGTGTGTGTGGGCGTGTAAAT